ATTGAGATTGAAGTCATTGAAAACGGGTATTTTCTCTTCTTGATCGTTTTATATTGAACTGGGACATTTGAGTGATTTTCCGGAAGTTTTCGACTATTTCCGAACATTCCAGAATATTCCGGAATATTGTGAAATACTCTCGGATGCTCTAAACTGTTTTGGGCTATAACAACAACTAATCTATTGATTGGAAAAACTTTTCCCTCACCTGGAGAAGTATTTCATGTCAGGTGAGGAACATTCCACCATATTCCAAAATATTTCGGATTGTTCTGGAGTGTTGTAAAATGTTCTAGAACTTTACAGGGGGCAAAATCATCATCAAAAGTGCCCCCTTTAAGTGAAACCTCTATAGAAAAGTTGATGATATAAGATAAGATAACGTAGGCATATATGTTTTCTAGTTGTGCGAAGTGGGGCACAGTTCGCTAGTCAAAGATATTTTCATTTCTAAAAATTATAATAGTGATATAATTATGTGAAGCAATAGCGCCATACTTGTTGATTATCGTAATTAACGTTTCCAATAATACTTTATCATGAAATTCACACAAAATAATTAACAAGATTATCCCCAGTAACTAACTGTCAAAAGACTAACATGCTTTGGAAGTCATGCAGAAGAATGTGTATAACATGCGTTCATCTTGTGCGGGACAGTTTCACGCCACTTTTGCCTAATAGACATTGATTTCGTAAGTTGATAGTTATATCACTTTTATTATGTTTGATAAATATTGTTGAAACTTTCAATCAGCTGTGTTTGAGTGATAACGTGAGATGAAAAAAAAAAACAATTTTCTACAACAATTTTTTTTGTTGAATCACATTTCAGTGATTGTTGTATACTACAGAAAATGAACAGTTCTAGGTGAACATTTGGCAGGTGATCGTTATTATTTGAACAGAGCTTGGTTTAGGACGTACAAACTATATGGCAATGGGTTCCATTTTATGGAGAATGATGTTTTGTAGTTCTAGATTTATGGAGTTTCGAACTGGATTATGTGAAATATTTGGTAGGTCGGTAGCCAAGCGTATTGACTTTCACTAATTCGGACTTCCATTGTCTACTATATAAAATGATTTGAAATCCCTGAAACAACTAAGAAAGAAAAATTAAAAATGAATAGATGGAAATAACAATTATATTGACCAGACCGAGGCAGAAGAAATCAGATGGAAAATTAGAGAACAGCTGGATCGAGAACCAGTTCCAACTTCTAACATCAGCAATGAAGAACGTAGAGCTCTGAACGGCCTACGTAGAGACAACATCACCAAGATCCTACCTGCAGATAATGGAAACGCTACTGTGGTAATGGATACCGTTCTCTACGAACAGAAGATCGAATAGGTTCTTCAGAAGGGACGATACACAAAGATCGTACGGGACCCTACTGTATCAATCGAAAGGAAGTTGTACCAGATTTTGAAAAAATACAAAGTCTATTTTTCGGACAAGGAAAGATCATCGCTAACACCGCACCACAGTAAGCCCCCTCAATTGTATGGACTGCCCAAAATCCACAAGAAGGACGTTCCACTTAGACCGATCATCAGCTCCAGAGATTCGGCTACTCAAAACTTGTCTAGATTTTTACTTCCCTCAATACAACCATTACAAGGAAAAACATCGTCTTTTGTGAAGAATTCAAGGCATCTTGTCGAACTACTAGGGTCAATTGAGGTCACACAGGAAGATCAACTAATTAGTTTCGACGTGGAAAGCCTTTACACCAACGTTCCGGTCGAAAAAGCACCCCAAATCATACAGAGAAAGATATCCGAAGACGGGAACCTGAAAGACAGAACGAATCTACCTATAGAAGTAATTATGGAATTACTAGGATTCTGTGTACGAAACTATTATTTCCACACACACAAGATGAGGGACTGCCAATGGGATCGCCACTTTCACCAGTCATAGCCAACATATATATGGAGTGGTTTGAAACTCTGGCCATCGAAGAATCCCACAAGAAACCTCGGGTCTGGTTGCGAGGAAGCTATTGTATAGCGAAACACGTGTCACGGTTTTGTAAAACCCTGGACGTACCACCACATCAACAACCGATGAAAATGTTGAAAAAAAGAAGAAAATTGTTACGAAGAATCGTCGAATTACTATAAGAGAATTTGCTGAGGATGTCGACATGGCTCATGCCATTAAATTTTTTCGGATTTGCTCAAAAGAGTCATAACTGGTGATGCATTATGGGTATATATTCATGACATCGAAACCAAAGTCCAATCGTCCCAATGGAAGAGGAGTCAAAGTTTTGCTCACTATTTTCTTCGATTACTGTGGCCGTGCAGAGTTTTTGCGACATGATCGTATGGTCAATTCAGAATTCTATCTTGAGTTATGCGCCGCTAGCGATAAAAAATACGAATAAAACGTTCGGTATTGTAAAAAAAATCCATGGCTTTCGCATCACGATAATACACCTGCTCATAAGTCAGTGCTTGCTCATGATATTTTGCCAAATACAAGACCGAAATCATGTATAATAATAATAATTGTCCGAAGAAAAAATCTTGTTGACAAAGCTAGTAAGTATACAATAAAATCATAGGACATAAATGTCCTATGAATATAAAAATGTAAACAAAATATAGTGTACACTAAACTAAAGTATAAAAAACACTGAATGAAAACAACAAACAATTGTTGGAACAAATACACACATAAAACCCGCACGGTATGGAACTTAGTCAAACTATAATAGGATTCACTACTCAAAAATTCATTGATTATTTTTCTGTATTTATTGGGTTGATATTTGTCTCTTCAGAGTAGCTCGGCAGATGGTTATACATCTTCACACCATTGTAAAATAAGGAGTACCAACTGAATAGAAAACGTGTTTTTGATATAATCCAATCTTGTAGTTATTTCAAATCATTTATTTTCTTATATTGACAAAAAATGTATAGATTATATTCGTTATATATATAAAAGGACAAAACAAAAAATATAAATATACAAGAATGGACAAGGTAAATACACAGAGTAGCAAGTCACATTTTTGTATTTAAAAACTCGTCAAGAATATAAAAACATCTTCCTAACAGAAGTTATTTCAATTTTTTTTCAAACAACGAAAGGCTGCATACTGACTTCAATTTTGTGTCCTATGCGTTTCGGTGCACTTTGAGTTATTTTATACTTAGCCGATCTAATGTGTATCATTTGCTTCTGCCGAGTGTTTTTATCATGAATATCGCTATTGGGATTGAAGTCATTCCTGTTAGTGAAAACATAAACTGACAACTCGTAAATATATAATCCAACCAGAGTTAAAATTTCGTGTGTAGCAAAACTGTTTCTGCATGAATATTATCGAGGAACATTGAACAAACAGCTAATGGATAGCTTTTTGTTGGATGAATACATTTTTACTCTTTGCAGAGTTGCCTCACAAACATACACCATGGCGTAAGCTGGATTCGACCTGGGCATAGTAAACAGCCATAAGTTGGTTTATGTTGAGAACATTCCTTGAGTTAATGAATAGATATGTTAGAGAGCTCAATTTTGAAACTAGTTGATGAAAGTGCTCATTCCAAGAAAGACTCTCATTCATTTGCATGCCTAGGAATTGAACAGCATCATGGGTTTTTCTCAAAATAGAGTCATTAACAGTCACCTGAATATCATCGGTTTTATTTTGATAGTTGTGAAAGCGGATTGACTGAGTTTTTTTCTACATTGAGAAACAGGTCGTGACCATTGAAATAGTTTGAAACTACATCAAGAGTATATTCACATTTTTGTGTTAATTCATTCGTCGCTTTGGCAGATATCACCAAACTACTATCATCTGCATAAGCAGTCCCTGCAGATTACGGTATTTTCCTGTCTATATTATTGATATATAATAGGAATAAGAGTGGCCCAAGTATAGATCCCTGGGGTACTCCCAGCTGGACCGACCTCATTTCTGATGTTGAAGATGAATAAACATCACCTTTGTCAAATTTGAGCGAGATACACTGCATTCTGTTGCTGAGAAAAGATGAAACCCATAAATTTCCTCTTATTCCATAACCATTCAGAATATCTAATAGCTTGGTATGATTGGAACAGTCAAAAGCCCTGCTCAAGTCACATAGAACTACAGCGGGACACTCGCCTGAGTCAATATAAGCCACCGTATTGGCCAGATTTAGCCCCATGCGACTTTTCATTGTTCCAAGATTGAAGAGACTCATAAAAGGACGGCTCAAGGACATACGTAAAAGTGCATATCGGAATCGATTTGAGTGTTCTAAAATACTCCGGCATAAGTGTATTATATCTGAGGAGGACTACTTTGCAGTGGACAAACTAGAAATCGATAAAGAAATGAATATATTTTTGAGAATCCCTTACCTGGTAGAATATAAAACTTTGTAGGTTCCCTTCGCAAAAGAGCGACATATTTCTGCCTCTCCTTATCACCACCGTCATCAGGAACAACCATTGCGAATCAAGTCAGTTTTCTTTTAGGCCGCAGCGATTAATTATCGAATGAATAATCAGCAATTACTCTTAAGCTTGGCATGAACACGACCGAACTGTACTGAGATTGATCTCTGTAATGAACAGATTTTTGAAATAATTGAGTATGGTTGACCTTTCACTATCAGTTGATTTTCGACGAGAAGCCAATGTTAACAATTCAATCAAAATAAATTGTGAGGAAATATCGTGTAGAAACTGTTTTGTTTTCGTTTTATGCTGAAGATATAACGTTTTTAGGAACTTTCTGTTGCATTACCGGTTAAGGTTGAAACGCATCAGTGGGTTAACTTTTTGCGAAAATTATTAGTCGAGTCAAGACGTGACGACATTCTTGTAAAAAGTTTCGAATGGTATTTTCCATATATTTTCTCTTTCTTGTCAGTGGATCACTGGGTGAAGGTCATAATGCAACATTTCCATCAACAATAGGTTGAAGTGGATCGAGATCACAATATTAAATCAATATAATTCAGGTCAATCTCTTCCTAATGGAAAAATTAAAAAGGAAATGAAAAAACATCTGTTATCACATACCTCCTAGAATGAAGTATATTTTTTATAGACATCTAATTCACTGAGATCATTTCGATAAAAAGGTTTCGTTCAAAACTCAATTTTTTGACAAACATTTTTGGCTTTCTACTTCACTATCATTTTTGGTTTTCTACTTCACTATCATTGTATATTCAAACAAAACACTACATTGCAAAACATTCATGAAAATCTGAAGAGCACACACAGGAACTTCTTTCAGTCGGTAGCCAGGCGGTTCGACGTGGGTGCTCTGTTCACTTACTCGAATTGACTGCCGTGTTGGTTGGTGGTTCAAGCCCTAATCTGAACGATCGATTTTCATTCGCTATCGTACAACCCGTGTTAGGAATCACACGTTAAACGATGAGACTTCGTTAATCCTTAGCTCGCACAAGTTTCGACTTCTGAGGGTTGTCGTTCGTGGGAGTGCGACAGCTGGTTAACGGAAAAACAGATTTTAAAAAGATTTTTTTTTGAACAGGTACAATCTGTAAAAAATGAGATTCTGAACAACTACTTTCGAATGAACATACAATTACAGAAAACGAAAAGGTTTTTTCTAAACGGAAATTCTCATATGAATGCCGATTACACTTAAATCATCTTCCAGTATCGACATAACATATCACTTACATGGAGCACTATCATCCAAGATAGTGTACTTCGAAATTTCGGGACAAGACACCTGTCTTATTACGTTTTGGATAACATTACGATGACGAAGCACAAATTTATACGGTTAATTCAATCTCAGCCATAGGAATTTCATTCGATTTCCAGAAAAAAAACTTTTTTCAAGGACAAACAACAGAAAAATCCTTAAGGCGCTTACAGAGCGGTACCTGTGCCGAAGAAGCGATTCACATAGGATTTGAATCGCTAGAGAATAAATCCATTTGGAAAAACGTTCTCAGGAATTGTATTCCATATAAACGCATTTTTCCAAATGGAAAAGTTTTTGAACAGTGAAGCACTGAGTTGAACCTCAAAACGATGAGCAGCCACACTCCGTTGTGTATTTCTTAGATTTACTTGGTGGAATCAAATGTGCCAAGTCACCAGAACACTTCCTGTGAAAGTATATATTGAAGAGAAATCAATTCCCAACCTTTCTTCGATGTTCCAGACCATCAAGTTTGCGAGTGAGGTTCGCGTCCCCAATGAGGAGGATGGCTCTTTTCTGAATAGAATCTAGCAGCTTCAGGGTATGCTTAGGGGCTGAGATCCAAACATGAGAACAATACTCCAAAGAATGTCCGATCTGAGCTTCATAAAACATGGAAAGTTGCTGAAGTTTCTGGTTCGGAACAGTGTTCCAAGCTTTAGAGAAGCAGCTTTTGCAATTCCAACTACATGATTGTGCCAAGACATTTTGGTGTCCATTTCAACCCCCAGCAAACTTATCGAAGCAGAAAGTGGAATTATCTGCCCTGACATTATAATATCCGGTTCGGAGACATTTATCTATTTGGAGAAAGTCGATGCCTTGATTTTTGTAGCATTGAATTGAACCTGGTTAGTTTCACTCCAATTCGAAATCACTTCTGTATCCTTATGAAGATATGCAACCTTTTGCTACCGATGAAGATTTGCACCCGCAGTCGCTGTCCTAGAATCCAAATGGAATGACGAGACAAGTGTGCTGTCGTCAGCAGAGCAATATATTGAAATATTCGTTTTTCCCAATAAGTCGTTGATGAAAAATAAAAAGAGAGTTGGAGACAATATCATCAACGCACCAGAGTTGATGATGAAAGTATTCGATATACATATATATCCATTGACGCCCACTTGCAACGTCCTGTCAGGGAGCTGGTGAGCCACCCATACACAAAAAATGAATCGATAAGCCTTAGCATCGAAGTTTGGCCAGCAAACCCTTAAGCCACACACGGTCAAAGGCCCTAGAAATATCAAGCGCAACAGCTCCTGACTCTCCATATTTCTTGATTACGTTATTTCAACTATGGTCGACATACGATAGAAGGTCGCCTGTTGATCTGTGTTTCCGAAAGCCATATTGATGATCGCTCTAGATGTTGAAGCCTTCCAAATTTTTAATGATATGGTTTACGGCTTTCTCCATGATTTTTGATATCACTGATGGAAAAGCGACTAGTCTATAGTCATTTGGAAGATTTTTCTTGCCCTTCTCCAACAAGAAGAAAAAACACATCTTCCTTGTAAGGCAGACATTTGCGCACATTTTGAGTAAGATGACTTCATTAGGACCAGACGCCTTGTTGATATTGAGCATTGTGGATTCTAGTGTAGGAATAAATGGTAGTGTCTTTTCCAGAAAGACGCAAATCGTTCAGCTAGTATATTTGCTTTTTCTATGGTTGTTGTTGCAATTGTAGTGAAATTGTGGATTTTGTAAAGTTTTCATCAACAGCTTTAGATACCGACCAGAAGGATCTAGACCTGTTGGAATTGGCGAGCAGTTTATCCCTAATTATCCGATTGTGAAGTTCTTTGCTCTCTTCAATTTCAAATTTGCAGCTGTTGCGACTCAGTTAACGAGAATTGTGGAGGAGATCGCTCGCAATTTTTGTTGAACCAAGGGTTGCCATTAGGAGTTCGCTTCATTGACTAACTTTGAGCGGCTTAGATTGTTTCCTAATGTTCATTGGTAATTCACTCAATAGTGAAATGAGTTTGTGGTCCGAAGATCCCAATGGAGACCATACTTTGTGAATTTCTGGATTGGTCGTTAGATATACATCCACAAGACTAGCATATTCTCCATCACGATCAGGAATCCTGGTTGGCTCATTTAAAATCTGAGTGAGTCCGCTGCTTATTGCAAAAGCCTCAGCTTCGTGACCCTTTTCGTCGTTTATATTTGAAAATTTGAGTCCTTTGATATTGTGGACAATGAAGTCACTGAATATAGAAATTTCGGCACTGGGATGATTGATTTGCAGAAAGTCAATGGTGTTTGCAAGTGACGAGAATAGTGCCCTATATTGTGTATCGCTTGGTGGTCAATAAATGCAGCGTTTAGTGATCTTCTATGATATTATTTCAAGCCACATAACATCAAAGTTTTAGGGTTCCAGCATTTCCTCTCTCGCTTCGGATACAAAGAGATATTTCAAAGTCATATCTGAATCGGTAGTGAAAATCATAGCCGAAGTTTCCTGAAGCACTGACTTTGGTTTCTGTGAGTGCAAGAATATGTGGACTCTTTGAAGTGGGTTTTGAATAACTTCTTCAGGATGATGACCTCGAATTAGCTCCCATCCGAGAATCTGATTGGGGAGTTATTTTACCTCTGGAGCGCCCTAGAAGTGCCATCATGCAATTTTTCTACCATTGAAACCAGAAACAGTGTCACGAAAGCAATTTCACGATGCCTGAGCCGTTGCAATGGAATCTCACCGGGCGATACCGGGTGGGACCAGCATCTACTATTTACCATTCGGATTTCTACTCCCCTACCACATAGAGTACATTGATTGAGTATATCGTTCATTTGCCTGAATTTATGGAATTTCATACGTAGTTTATCAATATCAATCAATGCGTGAATCTTATTGTAGAAGTGAGTATGTCAAATATTATTATACCAAGATATTTTATTTTTGTTACAGAGGGAACAAATTAATTGATATTTTTTCTTTCTTTAAAAGTAGTTTATAGTCAAACCACTCATTTAGCAGACGTCTAACTCTGCTTCCGTTCAGTCCAATTGATCCCTGTATACGTAAGGACTGCGAAGATGATAACACTGGACTGGATGAAGAACCATTCCTTGCGGAACTCCATATTCCATAGTTCTGAAGGTACTCGACCTGTCTCTTAGTTTGATTCATTGTTGTCTATCGCTGATCAAATATACAATGAATAAACATTGAAAATATTTTTCTCTCCATCACTTACCTATATACAGGGTGTAACTGAATAAGTGTAAAACATTGGAGGAGATGATTTCTCATCGAAAAAAATATAGGATCTTTCATATAAAGAAACTTCATTGGAGCATCCCTTGTTAAGATACAGCCCCTTAAAGGGGGTACATAAAATTTGTTTAACAATTTTTTTCACATGTACTGAAAAAGTTACAATTATTAAAAAGTACAGAAAAACTGAAATGTATTTTTTATGAAAATAATTGTTCAGATTTGTTCAATACTTTGTAGAATTGAAATCTGACCGGACATCTATCAGAAAATTTCTCAAACTCAACACCTTTTGATGACATTTCCCTCTATTAGCAAAATCGTTGTTAAAAGAGAAAACGACAAATACATTTGTTTCAAGTGGTTCGTCTTCTGGGTAACAGATGGCGATACATGTATTATATCTATCAAAATCAATGTTTGAATTTGATAAAGTTCAAAACGTATAATTCATAAACGGTTTGAACTTCCATTGTTAATAGAGGTGTCAACAGATTTGAAATTATCACAAGAAATGATAACAACTGAACCGAAATATTCGGTGAGTCGATTTAAAGAGAAATAATTTTGAAAATGAAATGAAATTGATAACATTAAATAAAAAATTAAATTGTCACGAAAACAAATCGAT